GTTCATCCTTTAGAGCCATGAAAGCTCTCTGCTTCCAGAGCAGCATATCCAGGTTAGCTACGTACATCTTTGCATAGCCATAGTGCGGAGCTGCCATGTCCAAACCTTGCAGAAGGTTGCACGAGGTAAGATCCGCATACGGCATGACCACCACCACGAGCTGGGCGCCTGCCTGCCGTTGGCCTTGGCCCACCCCACAAGCCTCTTGGAACTTTTGGAAGTTGCTGAACTTGATGAAATCCTTTCCCGTGGCTTGATCGTGAACGATCACGTCGTCTTCCGCGGCATGGAGGCCGAGGAAGCCTTGTGGTCCGTCCACGGCGTCCGCGAAGCTCCCTCTGAGAACCACGTCCAGCGGGACCTTGTGCTCTGCCGCCACCGCCCTGGCCGTCTGCAGAACGAGACCCTCCCCGGTGGTACGCCAGTTCGCTGCCGGTGCCGCCGCCGCCGCCATTGCTATTCCTCGATCGGCACGAGCGCTTTGCTTTGGTTTTGCGGGGGGAAACTTGGATCGATTTGGCTGCGAGGATTTTTGTCTAGCGCATTGGGCAAGATATATATATATATATATATATATATATATATATATATATATATATATATATATATAGAGAGAGAGAGAGAGAGAGAGAGAGAGAGAGAGAGAGCTGCTAGCTGATCGGAAATACGCCCCTAATTCCTTCAACTTGGTAAGTTTACCTCGCCACCGCCTCCAACGCGTCGAGAGAAAAGGCGCGTTTCGGACTTGATTAAAGAAGCGCGCAAGGAAATCCCAGCCGTCGGATCGATACCGCTCAAACGATCATATGGAAAGTATAGCTGCTCGCTAGGTAGGATACACTCCAACCGACTAGACTACGACCCAATCGACGATCGGAAATAGGCCTTAAACTTGGTAAATCTGTGTCACGCCGACTTTACACGTGCCAGGCCTGGTTCCTTCACAACGCAAGGGTCTTTCGCAACACTGCCGTTACAACAATGATGGTCGTCGTGAAGATGAAAGAGGAGGCCCGTCTTTGGGCTATGGCAGGTGCCATCCACTCGAGTATTATAATGCCACGAGAGTAGTTCTTTGTTCCCCGCTGTGCGGCTATTTGTCTAAAATTTTCTTTATTCAATGAAAATAGCAAACTTTTTGCCTCTTATTTCAAAAAATAAAATAAAATAGCACACATTTGAGCAGGTCCCACATCGTCAAGCTCAATGCCGATCTGAAAGGAGAATTCAATGCTTGTGTTACAAGTCGGCTTTTCTTTTCGTTTACTGGGATGTAGGCTTATGGCGACTCGCTTGTTCCTCACGACCCGATCCTGCCTGTGACGAGTGTGCCCTTCCCCCCACCTTCGGCCTCTACTCTATTCGCGCCTTCAGACGAGGGGTCCCCTTCGAGTGCCTCCTTGCCCGCCCCTCCCCCTCTCGTGTGTGGTGGTGCTCCAAGGTGGGCGGATTGCGCGGCGCAGGAGGACTTGGCGGCAGCTCGGGAAGTGGCGGCGGGCCATTTGTTTTTCAATACTACATCAGCAGGGTATTTAACTCAAAACCTTTTGGCTCGGATAGCATATTGAATTCATGCTTCATCCAACTCATCTAAAAGTCTGAACTGATGAAGCAACAAGTTGGAGGATGAATTGGATGTGGTATCTGAGCCAAGCGGTCTAGTTCAAGACCCTGACAACATAGTATATTAAAAAAAGTTTCTACAGCCTACATAAATCTCACGTCTAAAAACTAAATAAGTATAGACGTGAGGGTGGTGTTGATATATATCGGTATTAGATTTGTTTGTCCAACGATGCCGATCGGCCTTCTACCACTTTCGTAACGCACCGCCTTCGGGGTGATTAATCTTCTCTCCCAGGGACGCGGCACCCAATCTGATCAAAGACTAGATTGGTCCTTTAGATTAGTTTAGAACCAAATTTAGTCGAATTTCTTTAGCCACCAAATACACCCTTTGATCCTCAAAAATCCAGTGATCACAGAGGCGCCGACGTCGCAGACTTGATCCAGCCGCAACACCACAAGCTTCTCCGAGCAGATTGACGAGCTGCGCGCGGGAATACGAGCAGCACCCGCGCGGCAGGGCGACACCGATCGGCAACGCGTGCAGATCATGGGAGGAATTCCAACTCTCGCATGGCTCCCTACAAGTATGCAGTAAACGACATCAGCTACCAGTTGCACCCTCTGCTATCACGTGACACATGTAATAAGCAATCCAAACAATTCAAAAAAAAAAACTGCACCCTCCAGCCTACTCTAGAAGTCACGAGTGGCTTGTCCTGGACCCGCACAGGTGCACCACTCCGATCACGGGAGGGCCAATTTTCGAACTCGCCGATTCCAGCGTCTCGTGCGATGTGATGCACCAAATCTTCGTCGAGCCGAGCTACACCATATTCTGCATCGAGTTATGCCGATTTGCGCCTGCACCTGCATTTGCAACAACACCTCTACATCTAGCCAAAGCGTCCATCACGCGCCACGACATCAAGTTGTACGACTATATTGCGCTCAGAAAAAATATGTTCGTCGAGCACATCATCCAGAAGCGACATCAATATGCATCGCCCACACGCCAGATCCGTGTGGAAGGAGATGCAATTCTTCATTGACTTCTCCGGCACGACACAACAACGACATGGACACCTTCAAGCGACGCATCATCGTCGACATGCCGCTGCAACACCATTACCGACACTTCATTGCCAAGGTCTACATGAATGTGGTTTTCACCAACACCCTCGTGAACATACCGCCGTCGCCTCTACAACCTACAAGGGGACACGCGTCCTCTGACAGTAGTACTGCAAGACGCACATGACACCGACAACGGCATTGACCGCGTCCAACGACTAAGCCTGCATCAACACACCGGCATCACTTTTGCGAAAGCCACTACAACCGCGTACATGGTCCTAGCAAAACTTTTGTTTGCTCGGTGGGCTTCCTTCAGTCTTGGCACAAAATTGTGGTCTCACCTACAACCACGTCCTATGACTTCCACAAGACGCCAGCCACGATACCTCGCAAGGTGCAAAATGTCGTCCTCGATGGTACCTCTTCATGTGTAAAATGTCGACCACATGATTGAAGCTCTGTCATACACATTGCACATTTTTTTGTGCGTCCGGCTTTGTGCGGCTTCATCATCTACGACGACTACATCATCGATCATGGCTATATCATGATTGGCTACCTCAACATCGACATACATGGTTACGTCTACAGTTACTCATCGGCGATAACTCCAGGCGCAACATCTATGTCGTCACTAGCGTCCACGTCTCTCCCGCTGTGACCACGGGAGGGAACAGAGGAGAGAGGAGGAAGGCACCAGAAGGGGACGTAGTCACCGCACTAGGTGCCGGCCCACGAGAGATGCAGTTGATGATGGCACAACTGAGAAGACGGCAAAAGCGCTAGACTTCAAATTCATTCATATCCGCTTCGCTCCCGCTGCGACTGAGGTGGAATGTTAGAAGTATAGTTGTGTAGAGATAAAGAGTAGAGATATAGAATAGTTTAAATATACTACGACTTGTCTTGTACTCGAAATCTCACCCCACCATATATTCTATATATACCCCTACGAGGGACAGATCAATATAACACAAAACATTAGCCATCTAGGCCCGGGGAGGAGCGAACAGGGTGGTTGCCCTGGCCGCCCGGTGCCAGAGGGGCCCCAAAATGCTGAAGTATTGCCTCTTATCCATTATTTCCTTTTTGCTACGATTTCTTCCTTAATGCGCGATTTTTCTTCTTTGATCTACGATCCATAAAACGTTATCCTAATTTCCTTCCTTGCCAGCAAAGGCACGATTGACAAACACGTAGCAGTTTCCTAAAAAAAACAGGTAGCAGTTATTTAATACGATTAATTAGGGGTAGTTATGAATAAAAATCTCATGTTTTCCTTCCTTAATCCACTAGAGCCATGCAAACAGACGCGAAAAGGGAGGGAAACTGATCGCCCCGTTCGTGCCAATTGATATTCATCCCCTTTGCGTGCATGGCACCACCGCCTAGTGTTAGAGCAGTCCTGAGTCGGAGGAGTACATGACTGCCAGAGATAACTACGCCGCAGCCTCCCATGCGACTATCAAAATTTACAAATGATTACCAACATTGCATCTTCACTGTCACAACTAGCCACTGATGGTTGATTTATTAGATACAGTACTGTGTATGCATAGGTATTATTGGGGTTGTCAATTTTTTCAGGTCGGCGACATGCTCATAGTTGCAAAGGAGGAATAGGACTAGAGGCCTTAAATATCAAAGCAAGTGATCATGGGCATTTAAATCATCTACTAGTCTTGACGATGAACCTGCTTCTGTATTGTGATCCAAAATTAGGTTAATCTTAATTGGATATATTAGTAAAGAAATAGACTTACAAGAGAAACAATTACATTTCCTTTGGCGACAATTCATCACATTTTTTCGTATTTCTTCTACGTTTATGTTAACACCCTTAGGATCGGGTTCTAGTTTCGCCCCGGGCCTCTGAAATCTCTGGACCGGCCATGTAGCCATCCTACAATTTCTACACCCTCGTCTTCCTCACCTCAAGCCTCATCACCCCAAATCCCTTTCCCCTCGTGTATGCCTCACTTCAGGCTCGTAACAGAACTATTTACCGTGAGCAGATAAAACTATCACTCCACCACACATATCCTATATAGAGTGCTGTTAAAAAACACTTCACATAAAAAATATCTGAAAAATAATAATAAAATTATCATCATTAGAAATCAATCAAGATATGAATAAATGGCGAATAAAGGCAAAACTCCTACCGAATGTTGAAAAATGAAAAGGAATATATTTATCACGTGAACTAGTGTTGATAAGCAACAAAAATTTGATGATTCCAAACATATAAAACGAATGTATTATCACCTACCGCATCTTATACTTCTCTATTCAAAAAGTCAAAACTTTTAATTATTGACTTCCATATTGTATCCTCTGGTAAGTAATCGCTCAAACTAGTTCTGTATTGATGTTCTGTTGGCAACTTCGTTGTCCGCACGGGAAACCCTAGAGCGAAAGGCAAACATCTCCTCATATTGACGTGCTTTTACCTATCAACAAGTAACACACACAGTTATTTTAAAGGTATAACTGGAAAGCCCTTCAAATTCAAGCTGCTCAGACGACATTATTAAACACAATAACGCCTTCTTCATTTTCTTTGAACATCAGTACAGATGCAAACGCTCATATACAATAACGCCTTCTTCATTAACGACCATATATATGTTAGCTATGACTAGCACTCATTGTTAGCATGCTTTATGGACATACAAAATAAATACTATAAAAATACATATACCTGCAAACGGCCTCCTTTTTCTTTCTCACCCTGAAAGATGAGAGAAAAGAAGATGGAGGAGAGCTCTTAAGTGATCGAGCATGAAGTTTAATCCGTCGAGAATTACCTGGCCTTCAAGCGTGGGAACGGCATGATGAACCAAGTACTGCGCGTCTACGACACCGATCTGCTCTTCAGGGTCCTGCCAAGTTCATTCCGATGAGTAAAGGTGCAAAAAGTTATTCTTAAAGACATCTATGTTTCCAAACGCTGCTCAGATAATCTGACTATGCTTACATCGACGCATCTCCAGAAATTGGAGTCAAGACCCCATGCATGGACAAAGTCAGTCTGCAGTCAACTCGATCTTCATTTCAGATCAGACAAGTGAAAAATATCAATCGTAGGAATAACATATTTTCTCGGCAAGTGCACCTGGATCATATGCCACACGCATCTCCAAGCATCCCTAGAGAAGACCGGCGCCATCACCTCCACGAACCTGCATCCATAATATACACACGCATCTTGATTAATCCCAACCAATCCTACAGGTCGATCGTCGCAAACAAAATCAGAAGTCGCAAACCAAAATGAGTCTGGAGTGAAGAATTCAGTTCACTAACTAGAATTACCCGCTGCACGGGCGCTTGTGCACGTCCGAGCAATGCTCCCCTCCTGCATCTGTCCTGTTCATGGCATGACAGAGACCACGACCCAAGTTCAGACTGTGCTAAACATGTTTCCTAGAAATGTACCAGGCATCATCATGGAAGGCACATGCTTACTTGTGCATCTCGCTGCCGTTTTTCCTGGCGGTGATGTAGTAAGTCGGTGCCAGCCCATTGGTCGTGTCCAGCCCCGGCTGCGAGATCTCCAGCCCATGCCTCCTCACGATGTCCAGGTACCTGCAACCAATGCATCCACAACTTACCTGTTGATCATCATCCACAATGCATATTCAGAGTTCAGAGAAAATCATATAGCTAGAGGGACATACGGTTCCGCGGCGAAGTTGTCAATGCCAAGGTCCTCGTCCCACACGAACACGTAGTCGTAGGGCGCCACGATGCTCGGGTGCAGGAACCTCTTAGCGAACCACCTTGATTGTTGTTATTTTCAGGAAAAAGCCTGAAGATTGTCAGTGCACCTGTTTTCACTTAGGACTGAAATTAGTAATGTTTTGACAGATAGTTAGTTATTTTACCATTTGGTCTGTTTCCTGGCACTGACATGAGTGACCTTCTTCGACCACTTGAACTCTATATCCCACTCAGTTGTGCGGCCGTCATAGTGGAACAGCACGATGTCGAAGTTGTCCAAGAACTACACTTCTCATTTGATGATCATGGTCAGACAACTAATGACCATAGAGTTGTACATCTCAAAATCTAGTGCTAGCTTGAGGAACCTCTTGCTAGTTCTTGTTACCTTGTGGACAGTTGCGTTGACATTGGCTCTCTCGCCATACCCGACCGCGAGGGCGAGGAGGTACTTGCGGGCCGGGCTGTCCTGCGCATTGCATGATCAAACCATGAAGTTTTAAGAAGAAATGAAACATGATCACTTCAGACAGAGTGAAGGTAAAGTGCAGTCAATGTCATGCATGAATTCATTCAGATTCAGAGAAGGAACTAAACACGGAAGAAAGACCTGTGTTGGGGATCCCCAGAGCCGGCGCAGGTGAAGATCGGACTCCGAGACCACAATCCCCGGCGGCAGCCGCCTCTCCGACCCTTCTTCAGTGTTTGTTGCTGTTGCAACCTCTACACTCTACAAACCATTGATTGATCAAGAGACCATGCATTTAGCTGGGACGAAATACAACTGGATCATTTAGAAAGTTCAGAAATGCAATGTACCGGCGCCGAACTTGTCACATTTGGGGTGCGGGAGCTGCTGTTCCTGAACGGCGCTCCCCATAATCTGCCCAACATGGTGCTGTGACTGAAGCAGCTGCTCCAAGGGAGTATGCCACACTGAAGCTGCACGCATAATCCGTTCAGAGCTAGTTAGTGATGGCCAAGCCGCAAAGCTAGCCGTTAAAGAACTAGTAATGCTTTTGTTACCTTTGGTGTGACGTCCACAGGAAAGGAAACGCCGATGAAGAACCCGACCGCCGCCGCGAACAACGTCGTTAGAATCGGGCTTGCTTTCATTTTCATCCTGGGTAGCGAACCAAGATCCAAGAGATAACACGAAAGAACCTGATTTGATTTGTAGGGGGTGTGGAGAGAAGACTTGACTTGTTTAGGGGAATCGAGGAGAAGACTTTTAATTAACATCGAGCCTAAGCATGCATTGGGATTTGATACTTGAGAGGGCTAAGTTTGACTTCTAGTTCTACACTGACCCAAGTGCATACTAGCTTTGTTTCGTTCGAGCAACGGAAACGTGGGCTCGTGCCCCTCTGAAAACCTCTTCCACCCAATTAAAACGACAAATTTTATATACTGGATGGAATGAAGGAATCGATAAGTTTGCTGGAGGAGATCTATCAACGCGGCATTTGGTTTGAGGGCTACCAAGAGTTTATAGGGTTATATACTACGACAGAGTTATTAGATTGCAATGGTTTGGCTTAGTTAGAGCAATTATTACAATAGCTCCCCTAACAATTAAACTTCCCGTAAAAATCGTTTCATTGGATGATCGTATAATTTACGGAAAGTTGTCTGACCCCTAGTTTTGTCGATTCCCATAAATATCTTTCCCTAAAATCTTTTCCTTTATTTTCAATTAAAAAGCCTAGCTAATAGCCTATGGCCCGTAAGTTGATCAGTGACACGTGCAGCACGGTGGCGCATGTCGGCATGCCAGTGGAAATTGTTGTAGCGATGGTTGGCAATGTTGGTGCTGGCACGGTGGCGGTGGTCGGCGGTGCTGGTGATAGCGTGGTGGTGTGGCATCATGGCGGTGTGGGACAATGGAGGCGGCACGAGGGTATCCAAGTGTGATTAAGCCCTCCAAAATTATACGGGAAGATCATCTTCCTATAAACATGAGGGGAGGTGAATACAATTATACAAGATTAATTATGGGTTTACGGCAACTGTTGGAGGGATATTTTTGCCTCAACTTTCCATAAACAATTTTTTTTATAGATAGGGGAGCTATTGGATTGTTGTTGGGAGGGTTGAACGGAGTCAATTCTTCCTTTGGTTAGAAGACCTTTTTCGCTGCTCCACAAAACAATCAAAGATTAAAATCGCGGGAGAAACAATTTGGTGGTGGCCTCTCCCAGCAACTATAGCGGCCGCCATAGCTGGCAGTCATGGTAATTTTTACGGCATGAGAGATGATTTCTAGAGATTGTTATTGATCTTGGAGCTGTTCATAGGAATTTTTGAAGGATTACGTGGCGACAGACATATGAAGCGGCGAGGTTCACAGGCAGCTATAGCGCAGCTATTTTGCGGGAGATTTAATTTTGTGCCAAAAATCATTTTTTAATTGTTAAGATTCTTTTGAAGTTGACTCAAAATCATGTTGCACCAAAGCATTTAGGTACATAGTTAATGAAAATGAGAACCACTTAGGATTGAAAGAAAGTCCCAGGTGTGGAAAGTTACGGCCCCATTTGGTCTGCTTTCTGGCACTGACATGAGCAACCTGCTCGGACCAGCCGAACTCTCCATCCCACTCCGTGGTGCCGGGGTCGTAGTGGAACAGCGTGACGTTGACGTTGTGGGAGAACTGAAAGTGCTATTTGATGGCCATGGAGTTTATAAATTGGAATCAAAGGATCCTATTCATCTAGTGCCTGATCAAACAAGACAACCGATGAGCATGGAGTTTATATCCGAAACTGTTGCTTTTGGTCACAAAATATGAGAAACCACTCCTTAGAGCAACTCTAACCGATCTGCAATAACCGGTTAGAGAAGTAAAAAAATATCCTAGGCCGCCCCAAATACTCCTAGTTTTACTCCACCGTTCCGCTGCCAAGTAAAATCCCACACCTCTCTACCTCTCTACCTCTCCTCCTCCCCCTCCCCCCGCCGTTCCCCGACTGCTCCTTTCCTCCCAATGGCCGGCGCTGCCGCCAATCCGCAGCTCGGATCCGCGCCGCATCCTCGAGCTGACTGTTGGGGAACGTTGCAGAAAACAAAAATTTTCCTACTCGTTTCACCAAGATCATCTAGGAGTTCATCTAGCAACGAGTGATTAGATGCATCTACATACCTTTGTAGATCGCGCACGGAAGCGTTCAAAAGAACGGTGATGATGTAGTCGTACTCGACGTGATCCAAATCACCGATGACCAGCGCCGAACGGACGGCACCTCCGCGTTCAACACACGTACGGGACGGGAGACGTCTCCTCCTTCTTGATCCAGCAAGGGGGAAGGAGAGGTTGATGAAGATCCAGCAGCACGACGGCGTGGTGGTGGATGCAGGGCGTCACAGCAGCAGGGCTTCGCCGAGACTACGAGGGAGAGACGTAACGGGGGGAGGTGGAGGCGCCAGGGGCTGGTGTAAAATCCCTCCTCTCCCCCCACTATATATAGGGGTGCCAGGGGGGGCGCCGGCCCTAGTAGATGGCATCTACTAGGGGGGCGGTGGCCAAGGGGAGGTTTCCCTCCCCCCCAAGGCACCTAGGGGTGCCTTCCACCACATGGACTCTTCCATGGTAGAAACCCTAGGCGCATGGGCCTATAGGGGCTGGTGCCCTTGGCCCATCTAGGACAAGGCGCACCCCCTAAAGCCCATGTGCCCCCCCGGGACAGGTGGCCCCACCCGGTGGACCCCCGGGACCCTTCCGGTGGTCCCGGTACAATACCGATAACCCCGAAACTTGTCCCGATGCCCGAAATAGCACTTCCTATATATAATTCTTTACCTCCGGACCATTCCGGAACTCCTTGTGACGTCCGGGATCTCATCCTAAACTCCGAACAACATTCGGGTTTCTGCATAAACATATCTTCATAACCCTAGCGTCACCGAACCTTAAGTGTGTAGACCCTACGGGTTCGGGAGACAAGCGGACATGACCGAGACGACTCTCCGGTCAATAACCAACAGCGGGATCTGGATACCCATGTTGGCTCCCACATGCTCCACGATGATCTCATCGGATGAACCACGATGTCGAGGATTTAATCAATCCCGTACGCTATTCCCTTTGTCTATCGATATGTTACTTGCCCGAGATTCGATCGTCGGTATCCCAATACCTCGTTCAATCTCGTTACCGGCAAGTCACTTTACTCGTACCGTAATGCATGATCCCGTGACCAGACACTTGGTCACTCTGAGCTCATTATGATGATGCATTACCGAGTGGGCCCAGTGATACCTCTTTGTCATACGGAGTGACAAATCCCAGTCTTGATCCATGTCACCCAACAGACACTTTCGGAGATACCCGTAGTCTACCTTTATAGTCACCCAGTTACGTTGTGACGTTTGGCATACCCAAAGCACTCTTACGGTATCCGGGAGTTACACGATCTCATGGTCTAAGGAAAAGATACTTGACATTGGAAAACTCTAGCAAACGAACTATACGATCTTGTGCTATGTTTAGGATTGGGTCTTGTCCATAACATCATTCTCCCAATGATGTGATCTCGTTATCAATGACATCCAGTGTCCATAGTCAGGAAACCATGACTATCTGTTGATCAACGAGCTAGTCAACTAGAGGCTCACTAGGGACATGTCGGTGTCTGTTATTCTCACATGTATTACGATTTCCGGATAACACAATTATAGCATGAATAAAGACAATTATCATGAACAAGGAAATATAATAATAATGCTTTTATTATTGCCTCTAGGGTATATTTCCAACAGTCTCCCACTTGCACTAGAGTCAATAATCTAGTTACATTGTGATGAATCGAACACCCATAGAATTCTGGTGTTGATCATGTTTTGCTCTAGGGAGAGGTTTAGTCAACGGATCTGCTATATTCAGGTCCGTATGTACTTTACAAATCTCTATGTCTCCATCTTGAACATTTTCACGAATGGAGTTGAAGCGACGCTTGATGTGCCTTGTCTTCTTGTGAAACCTGGGCTCCTTGGCAAGTGCAATAGCTCCAGTGTTGTCACAAAAGAGCTTGATCGGCCCCGACGCATTGGGTATGACTCCTAGGTCGGTGATGAACTCCTTCACCCATATTGCTTCATGTGCTGCCTCCGAGGCTGCCATGTACTCCGCTTCACATGTAGATCCCGCCACGACGCTTTGCTTGCAACTGCACCAGCTTACTGCCCCACCATTCAAAATATACACGTATCCGGTTTTTGACTTAGAGTCATCCAGATCTGTGTCGAAGCTAGCGTCGACGTAACCCTTTACGACGAGCTCTTCGTCACCTCCATAAATGAGAAACATCTCCTTAGTCCTTTTCAGGCACTTCAGGATATTCTTGACCGCTGTCCAGTGTTCCTTGCCGGGATTACTTTGGTACCTTCCTACCAAATTGACGGCAAGGTTAACATCAGGTCTGGTACACAGCATGGCATACATAATAGAACCTATGGCTGAGGCATAGGGGATGACGCTCATCTCTTCTATATCTTCTGCCGTGGTCGGACATTGAGCTGAGCTCAATTTCACACCTTGTAACACAGGCAAGAACCCCTTCTTGGATTGATCCATATTGAACTTCTTCAATATCTTATCAAGGTATGTGCTTTGTGAAAGACCTATGAGGCGTCTTGATCTATCTCTATAGATTTTGATGCCTAATATATAAGCAGCTTCTCCAAGGTCCTTCATTGAAAAACTTTTATTCAAGTAGGCCTTGATGTTGTCCAAGAGTTCTATATCATTTCCCATCAAAACTATGTCATCTACATATAATATGAGAAATGCTACAGAGCTCCCACTCACTTTCTTGTAAACGCAGGCTTCTCCATAAGTCTGTGTAAACCCAAACGCTTTGATCATCTCATCAAAGCGAATGTTCCAACTCCGAGATGCTTGCACCAGCCCATAAATCGAGCGTTGGAGCTTGCACACTTTGTCAGCATTCTTAGGATCGACAAAACCTTCCGGCTGTATCATATACAATTCTTCCTTAAGGAAACCATTAAGGAATGCCATTTTGACGTCCATTTGCCATATTTCGTAATCATAGAATGCGGCAATTGCTAACATGATCCGGACGGACTTCAGCTTCGCTACCGGCGAGAAAGTCTCATCGTAGTCAACCCCTTGAACTTGTCGATAACCCTTAGCGACAAGCCGAGCTTTATAGATGGTCACATTACCATCCGCGTCTGTCTTCTTCTTAAAGATCCATTTATTTTCTATGGCTCGCTGCTCA